TGTCCCGCATTTGAACTGCACAAATCTCTCTACCTGTGCAAATATCCACATCATGAAATTGATTTTTTATATTAATTGTAGAATCAGTCTGAGTGAACGAGTTCCTTCTGTTTTATTCATGATCATCACATGAGTTTAGTTCAGTTTGTCACTAAAGCGTCGTTGTTGTTGTTTCCTTTAAGTTTTGTTCTTTCTTCTCTTGATCGTTGTGGATAAATTGTTCATGTTAGAATCTTTATCCTTTGTGGAGTTTGTTGGTTGAAGATTTGGTGATGGAGCAGATTTATGAAACTGCTGGAGACACACATTTACACACATATTTACACACACATTTACACACATATTTACACAGAAAACCATTAATCGGACGTTCCACAAACCGGGACATTTCTGACTGTTATGAAAAAGGTCCAGTGATAAAATAACAGTAAAAGTCTGGGGTCTGAAAACTCCTCTGTGAAGTACTATTTAATTAGATACTCAAGTAAATATAACAGAGTACGAAATTGAGAAAGCTGAGGCACTCAAAAAATACACAATAATTAAATAAAAGCTTTAATACCACATGATAAAAGTGTTTCGGTCCTTCTGCCTTCATCAGGACAAAAACGACGAAGCTTTTTCAACTTTGCTTTCTCGACTCTGTATTTGAAAAAGGAGAATTCTGCACAATCTCCACACGTCCAAGTAGAACTCCTGCCCCCTGAAGTTCTGCGTAACGACCTACTACAATTTAGTTCTGTTCTAAACCACGACAAAGCTCTCGTCTCTCGCGTCTCGTCTATCGTCCGGCGGATCTTCGCACAGAGGGTCCAGTGTTTAAATCCAAACATCATGAGGTCCTCAAAAGTCACGACCCCAGAAACACGACGTCACAGAGGAGCAGAGACGTAAAGACGAGAGGGAAAATGTGTAAAGAGGGTCACAGACGGAATAAAGACCCAAGAAATCTGTTTTTTTTTTTTTTTTTTTCAATAAAGCTCAACATCTTCTCTGTCGTATATATTGTTTTTTGTAGCAGCGTCAGAGCGTTGTCCGTGTGTTGAGGTTTGTTTTTGAGGAGCTTAACCCTAAGAACATTACAACACAGATCAGAAAATTGCAAAATATAGAAGTTTTAAGTCATTTTACACCAACCAGCTGTTTATCACTTCAAAAATGTTCAAATTTAAAGATCTGATGAGCTTCCAGACAGAAAAAATAATGTGTAATAATAAGAGAACTACCAAAAAAAAAAAAAATCAGTAACATTTTATTGAAAGAGAAAGTATTTATAATTTAAGGAGAATTCATCTATTTAAAATGGCCAGCGTCCGAACAACAAGAAAAAGTTTTTGTATTTCAGTTTGTTGGGTCAAAATGTGGAACTCTGTGAAGTGATGAGCTCAAAAAATGCCCAAATATGAAAATGTTTAAATGCAGATATAAAGAAATTATTATAACTACGTATGCAGAAGAAGGAATTTAAGTTAATTTGTCATTTGAATGTGACTAAAACATTTTGAAATGTATTTTGTCATCATCATCATCATCATCTTTATTCCAAACTCATGGTCCATTTTTAAAACAGACAAAGGACGGTGACAAAACAAAACAATGAACATTTATGTTTTTAAAAGACGACCACACCAGTGTCTCCACATGTTGGACTGATCTTATTGCACTGAATCTCATATTTGTGAGTGACATTATTATTTCATTGTAGCAACAGCTTAAAAAAAAAGACAGAGGGAACTACATAGACCATGATTCTTTGCTCCATTTCAGTGCAAACTACGACTACATTTACACTTCTTTTCTGTGTCTATAATCCTTCCCTACCCACGCAGCTTTGAGGATATTTGTTTACGTTTTACAGAAACGAAACTTAAAACCACATGGATAATTTGATATTGTGTCGCTGATGCGGTTCAGCTTCTGTCGGACTAAAGGACACAGTGACTCAGTGGAATATGAGTGTTGTTTCTGTGACAGAGGGGTGTTCTGCTGATGGTGAGTCTGTTCTGTGTTTCTGTCGTGTTGGAGATGGTTCATGTGAAACTTTTCAGAGATTATACGTCTGCAGGTCGACACACAGACACACGTTTATATGAATGGACAAATATTCTAGACCAGAGATGTCAAACTCATTTTGGTCCAGGGGCCGTATCCAACCGACTTTGATCCCAAAGTGTCCGGATCAGAAAACTCATGTCATATAAACCCCAAAAATAACAATAAGTTCAAATATTTGTGCAGAAAAACACAAATCTATTACAGAAATCTTACAAAATATTATATTATGAACAACCTGAAACCTTTAAGAAAAATGCAATTTCACCACAATGTTTTAACTTTAACTTGTTTGCAAATAGGAATAAGTCAATTTTTCTTGTAAAATCCTGCACTCGGCTCCACTTTTCTCATGTTGGACATTTTTCTGATGAGGGTGTCACGGTCAACAGTCAAAACGATCGTCCTTTAAGAGCGTTTGGAAAGAGACAAGTCTTCATTTGTGCTGCTCTGGTGGGAGGGGCCACGTACAGAGACGCTGGAGACGCTGCTGTGATAAACACCACAGAAAATTAACACGATTTTAATAGAAAATATAATTACAGTATTTTAGTAGAAAATCAGCTGAGGGCCAGATTAAAGGTCTTGGAGGGCCGGATCTGGCCCCCGAGCCGCATGTTTGACACCTGTGTTCTAGACTCTTAGTGTTTTGGCGCTGAATTACTTTGCAGCGCTCAGATCTACATCAGAGTATCAGTGTTTTCAGGCGTCCACACGGTGCAGGAGCAGATCTGTGCGAACATGAATTTGTGGGAGTTGGAGGCACCAGATCGTTCTGGAGCCGTTTTCAATCGGATCAATGTGAACGAACACTGCACCCACGACCAGAATGACTCGAATACGAACTAGTGTGGACGGGGCCTAAAAGAAGAAATCACAGTTCTAAGCACTTTTAAATCTTAGTTCTTTGGATTAAGTCTTGTCAAGGCATGCGATTTTTCCTCTTAAAATATGAACAGTTTTGTAAGCCTCCACAAAATATCACAATAAATATCGTAGGATGAGACGTATATTGTAAAAATATTTGTACCGAGAGATTTGGATATTGTTACATCTGTAATCATGAGCCTTCCTGCCATATCGTGAGCTTTTCCCACGATATCACAATAAATATCGTACCGTGACAATATCATATCATGAGACTTGGATACAGTTACACCCCTAGCGGTTAGTAAAATAAAAATAATTGCCTTTATGTATCTGTTGATTACTGTTGGAACAATTTATCATTTATGACATTTTATTATTCATGAAATATCTGAATATCTGAAAACATTTCCACGGAGAAAAACATTTGATGGAGCCTCCACCAGAAAAGTTACACAATGCACCTTAAAACCACAACCAAAACTAAAATATTATTACGGAGATGATGACAAAAAGCAGTGGCATATTCACTGTTGTCATGATGTGTTCAGTCCCGCTCGGGTCTGGTGCCAGCTGGTCTTGAACAGGACTTGGACCGGACTAAAAGTGGGCCAGGGGAACAATGGGCCCCTGTGAACCTGCTCCGGCCCCAAGACTCCGAACAAAACCCAAGTCTGGATCGTTACGTCCAGTTCACTGCTCCAGAATTCACCAATTAACACGGAAGACAAGAGGATCGCAAACTGTGCCACCTCCTAATCTCAGTAATCCTGCGGGAATGACTCCGGATCGGGATTTTAATCTGGATTTGATCAAATTTGACCAAGTTACATTTAAAAAGACCCAAATTACAAGGTTTTCTGATCACAAACAGCCCTGGAGTTGTGTTTTGTTTTAGTCACACATGTTTAACGGACAAAACCTGCACATTTAGAGTGATGTGGAAAGGTGCACTTAAGTCACTTTATTCAACTGTTTGTACAATACATGCATCTCGAATTTTGGACTTTCGATCATCGCGTAATTTATATTGGGAAGGATTTTCTGAAAAAGTGAGCATCAAAACCTCCATGTTTGTTTTCCCAGTGGGATGAGTCTATTGTCAATGTCGATCTTTTCAAGTCTTTTGAACCATATCACTTTTGTTTCTGCTTCTGATATTGTCATATTTCAGTTTTAGGATTCGGACATCGTAATTGTGTGGTTGTTGGATCCAACAACAATGGAAAACGGGCTTTGTAAAGTTTGCAAACTCCATAAATGTAAAAGTGAATCAGATGTGTGTGACTCAAACCTCCGTTCAAACTGTTTCTCTTCCCAACGGAATTGAAAAATAGTGAAAGGTGAAGGTGATGGGCAGGATTGATCCACAGGAAGAACCAAAAAGGAAACATTTGACTGACTAAGAAATCATCCAGAGTTTACAGAGAACATTTTGTATGTGGAGCGACAACAAAACAAAATCCTGATCTCTCGCTCCAGCTTGGTTACGAATTTATTAAGTCAAAGCCAAACTGAAAGGCTCCAACTGTTCACCAAGAAACACCTTCCACTGCAAAGAGACCAAGATGTGGTCTCTTTGCAGAGACCACATCTTGGTCTCTGCAAAGAGACCAAGACGTGATGTTGCTGTAAAACCACAAGAACAAGAAAGTGCAGCTCAGTCTGTTTGTCTTCTGCTCCTCTCCATTAACAAAGGGGATTTTGATCTGATTCCCTTTTGCATTTATGGAAGTTCGCAAACTTCCAAAGCCCATTTCTCGAGCCGTTTTCCGCTGTTAGGATCCAACAACCACACAATTACGATGTTCGAATCCCAAAACTAAAATATGACAATATCAGAACCAGAAACAAAAGTGAAATGGTTCAAAAGACTTGAAAAGATCGACTTTGACAATAGACACGTCCCACTGGGAAAACAAACATGGAGGTTTGATGCTCACTTTTTCAGAAAATCCTTCCCAGTAAGCAATGGCGGAAGTCCGAAGTCCGATATTCGGGATGCATGTATAGCTCCACTTTAACAATGTGTAACTTTTACACTAAAGCCTTTAAAAATCACAAGACTGACAACATTTCACTGTTATTCATTTAAGTTTATTGTAAAGCAGACACATCGTGGCTTTACAATTCACAATTCACAATACAATAAATACAGCTCCCACATTTGAATTTCAGTGATTATTAATTAGTCTCATTAATTAAGTTGTTTCTGGAGTAGTACCTGTAGTAGTAGTACTCGCAGTAATAGTAGTAGTACTCGCAGTAATAGTAGTAGTATGAGTAGTAGCAGTCATAATAGTTCAGATAATTAAATATTCTAAAGTGATAGCAGCTTCAACAGTTTTTAGTGCTTTAGTGTTTTCAACATTAGATATTAAACTAAACTTTTTCTAAAATTAAATGATGTTAAACCACATTAATCTGACGTGCTGTTGGAGATTCACATTTAGACGGTTTCAGTTTTTAAAGTGGAACTAAACACTAAACTGACTGCTAAACCGTGTATATGAAGTTTGAGTATAATAATTATCGACTGTTCCTGATCATTTTTGTTTATTTTAGAGCAAACTAGGTCAAAGTGTGTACTGTATTTTTCGGACTATAAAGCACAGTTATAAGTTATAATCTGGTGTGTCTTATGTATTAATTCTGGTCGTGTTTACTGACCTCGGATCAATTTAATGTGGAACACGGTGCTCAAAAATCTGTCCAAATGTTTTAGTGCAACTTTGGTAAACGATGAAGCCACACCTCTTGATGGATTGTCAGAGCACGACGGCGACTGTAGTCAGGAGCCTCGCGAAGTAAAACACATTCACCAAAACAGGGAGGAAACGGCGGGAGACTTACGTCATGAGCTGTCGATGGATCGTGGATAACTGGACTGAGTTATTGTGAATGAGTTGAATAAATGGTCATGAACTTTGGGTAATTAAAGAACAAGTTCACAGATACAAGCGATCAAAATGAGTTTCTTCTGCAGAGTGTCTGGGCGCTTCCTTGGAGAGGAGCGGTGAGGAGGTGAGGGTGAGGAGCTCGGAGTAGAGCCGCTGCTCCTCCACGACGAGAGGAGTCAGCCGAGGGGAGGGCATCTGTTCCAGATGTGTCCTGGGTGTCTCCCTGAGGAGGTGTTCCAGGCATGTCCCACCGGAAGGAGGCCCCGGGGAAGACCCAGGACACACTGGAGGGACTAAGGCCCTGTCCACACTAGTACGTGTTAGAGTCGTTTTCGTTGCAGATGCTAATCCGATGGAAAACGGCTCCAGAGACGGAACAATCTGGTGCCTCCAAGCTTCCACGAATTCATGTTTGTACAGATCTGATCCTTGACTGTGTGGACGCCTGAAAACACTGATACTCTGATGTAGGAGCTCGAGTCACTGTGACCTGTGACCGAGTCCTTCCTGATTCTCTGGGTTCGTGACATCGGTCATGTGACGCTACTGCGGAAAACAATTTCAACAAACCACAGACAAATTTCTTACAATCCATTGTTACGTTCAGTTGTCGGTCCATGAAAAAACTGTTTTCACACTTAAAATCTTCCTTGGCTGGAAATCAGCTGCTGCAACTTCAGACACGGTGCTCCACTTCCTTAATTTTACTACCCATGTGATGTGACATCTTGACCCCAGCCTTAGTCACGTGACGAGTGTTTCAGGAGGTTTCGTGTTACTGTGTGGAGGGGAGGCTTTGATTGTGAACACAGAAACGACGTGTCTGGACGCAAATCGTGTCCAATACGGTGATATGTTTCAGCGTAAACGTCTAAAATGTCTCTGGGTTGGCCTGCAGTCACCTTAGGGTTCCCCCGGAGGAGCTGGAGGAAGTGTCTGGGGTGAGGGAAGTCTGGGAGTCTTTGTTTAGACTGCTGCCCTCACGACCCGACCAGGATAAGAGGAAGAAAATGGATGAAGTTGAATAAAGTTTGACTTATTTGACTGTTTTGTTTGGCTTAATGCTCCTTATTTGGTGCGCTTTATAGTCAGAAAAATACAGTAAGTACTAAGTGACATCACACAGAACTGCCCTGATTACAGCCAGAGGTTCTGATTACAAACACCCGCCCCTGTAGTCCACAGACGTCGCCCAGTTTAGTCTCTGTGTTTGAAATGCAGTTTTCAGGTGTGTAGTTCCACGTTAAAGTCCATGAGTGTCTCTTGGCTCTTTACTGCCCCCTGTGGCCGAGGATCAGGTCCACAGCTTGGCTCAGATGGTCCACGGTCCCGTCGGCTCGGACTGACGCGTGGCTCTCATCACTCGGTCTGAAAAACACAACAGGTAATCATTTAAAGCTGCACTGTGTAACTTTTCTGGTAGTTCTGCTCGTTTCCATGGAGGTGTTACTGCTTTGTCAGGAATGTTTGGACTAGACCAGGACTAGACCAGGACCAGACCAGGACTAGACCAGGACCAGACCAGGACCAGACCAGACCAGACCAGACCAGACAGGACCGGACTACAACTACTACAAGTACTACTACTACTACTACAAGTACTACTACAACTACTACTACAAGTACTACTACTACTACTACAACAAGTACTACAACTACAACTACAACTACAACTACTACTACACTACTACTACTACTACTACTACTACAAATACTGCTGCAACTACAACTACTACTGCTACTACTACTACTTCTGATACTTCTACTACTGCTAGTACAACTACTACTGTTACTCCTACTACTGTATTATTGTAAACTGTAATTACTACTACAACTAGCTACACTACTATACTACTACTAGAACTACTACTACTACTGCTACTACTACTACTACTACACTACTGCAACTACTACTACTACTACTACTACTACTACTGCTCTACTACTACTACTAGCTTCTTCAAATACTACTACTACTACTGCAAATATTACAACTACTACAAACTACTCTACTGACTACTAACTACTGCAACTACTACTGCTACTACTACTACTACTACTACAAGTACTGCTGCAACTACAACTACTACTGCTACTACTACTACTTCTGATACTTCTACTACTGCTAGTACAACTACTACTGTTACTACTACTACTGTATTATTGTAAACTGTAATTACTACTACAACTACCGCTACAACTACTATTACTACTACTACTACTACTACTACTACTGCTACTACTACTACTACTACTACTACTGCTGCTGCTTCAAATACTACTACTACTACTGCAAATATTACAACTACTACAACTACTGCTACTGCCACTACTACTACTACTACTATAACTACTGCAACTTACTGCTACTGCTACTACTACTACTACAAGTGCTGCTACTACAACTACAACTACTACTACTTCTGATACTTCTACTACTACTGTTGTCACTGCTACTACAACAACAAGTACTACTACTACTGCTATTGTTACAACCACAGCAAATATTACTACTACTGCTACTACTGCGTCTAATTATAAAGCGTTTCATTGTACAAGAATCAGGAAGTGCACTGTTAGCTTGCTAGTTGTTGTTGGAAAACTTCCGCTCCGGCTTCTGTGAGTCGTAAAAATCTTTTATAAACTGAAGGTGGTGAATAAAAACTCTGAACGCAGACGAGAAGTGAAGAAGAACCTGTTTCTCATGTTTTTAAGACGGGACAAATCTGAAACACTTTAGAGACTTTAAATTCCTCTGACTGGAAGATTCTCTCCTGTTTCTTCTCATAAATCAGAGTGAAATATTCGCTCGGCTCCTTTCCTCACGTGTCGAGTTTATTTTTATCTGTGGACTTCCTGCTCGGTCACACTCAGCTCCAACTCAAACTTTAACACGTTTAAAATGTGTGGAACATCTGCTCCTCAAACAGCTGCTCCACCAAACCACACGAAGAGACCGAGACCGAGACCAGGCCTGGTTTAGACCCGGACCGAGGCCTGGTTTAGACCCAGAACGAAGCCTGGTTTAGACCCCGGACGAAGCCTGGTTTAGACCGAGGCCTGGTTTAGACCCGACTGAGGCCCGGTTTAGACCAAGGCCCGGTTTAGACCCGACTGAGGCCTGGTTTAGACCCGACTGAGGCCCGGTTTAGACCCGACTGAGGCCCGGTTTAGACCCAGGCCTGGTTTAGACCAAGGCCTGGTTTAGACCGGACTGAGGCCTGATTTATACCGAGACCGAGGCCTGGTTTAGACCCGACTGAGGCCTGGCTTAGACCTGGGACGAGGCCTGGTTTAGACAGAGACTGAGGCCTGGTTTAGACCTGACCGAGGCCTGGTTCAGATGGGACCAAGGCCTGGTTTAGACCGAGACGAGTCCTGGTTTAGACCGGGACAAGTTCTTGGTTTAGTCCTGGTTTAGTCCTGGTTTAGTCCTGGTTTAGTCCTGGTTTAGTCCTGGTTTAGTCCTGGTTTAGACCTGGTTTAGACCTGGTTTAGACCTGGTTTAGACCTGGTTTAGACCTGGTTTAGTCCTGGTGTACACTTGATTTAGTCCTGATTTAGACCTGGTTTTATAGTCCTGGTTTAGCTTTAGTTTGGTCCTGGTTCAGTCCTGATTTAGTCCTGGTTCAGTCCTGGTTCAGTCCTAGTTTAGTCCTGGTTTCAGTCCTAGTTTAGTCCTGGTTCAGTCCTGGTTCAGTTCTACAGTATTTCCTGTCTCTGTTTCCTCTGAACGTTCACACAGAGACACAGTTTACAGTTTCATCACGTTTATTATAAATATGACATATTTTATTATTATTATTATTATATTTTATTGTCCTGAAAACTCAAACTTCCTGCTTTTGTGGATTCAGTGTTTAGTCAATGTTTTAGTCTTGGTTTAAATCAAGATTTGTCCTGGTTTAATCCTGGTCCAGTCCTTCTTTAGACCTGATATAATGTCGCCATCTAGTGGACAGATTTGAGAACGTGCTGTTTACTTTAACTCACTGGTCATTTCTTTTCCCCGAATGTCTCAAAAACTCATCTGGACCAGTTGGAAGAGCCAGTTACTGTTACTTATGAACTAAATAAATATATAAAATAACTAAATAAAGAAAAATATTGATGTTGATATTCAATACAACAGCTCCCGCAGTAGAGTTTTACAGGGTTCCTACTTTTTTCACTGACAACATTTCAAAACTTTTCCATGACTTTTTCATGACTTAATCAAACTGTTCTGAAGCTGTGGAACTGTCTTGGTTTAGTCCTGGTTTAGTCCTGGTTTAGACCTGGTTTAGTTCTGGTTTAGACCTGGTTTAGACCTGGTTTAGTCCTGGTTTAGTCCTGGTTTAGTCCTGGTTTAGACCTGGTTTAGTCCTGGTTTGGTTTAGTCCTGGTTTAGACCTGGTTTAGACCTGGTTTAGACCTGGTTTAGTCCTGGTTTAGACCTGTTTAGACCTGGTTTAGTCTTTGTTTAGCCCTGGTTTAGACCTGGTTTAGTTCTAGTTTAGTCCTGGTTTAGTCCTGAAAAAGGAGCTTTTGTCTGTATCGAGGCATCACATCGTTGTTTCCCTGTTTTTTACTTTTAACACTGTTTCTATTTAACTTTTTTACAGATTTAAACTCTGACCTGTATTTTCCGGTTCGGACCTGGACGCCCTTCATGCCGCAGCTCTGAGCTCCTCCAACGTCGTTCACCAGGTCGTCCCCGATCATCAGAGCCTGGAAATCAAACACAAAATACAACTAAGAAATATCGTTAAAGGAACAGCACGGAACCTGTTCTTTCACTGTTCAGGTTCTACACTCACAACTGAACCTGTGTCATATGAGCAGATCATGTAAAAGCTCAGAACCTCCAGAATTCACTCAGCGTTTTCAGACCGACAGAGAACTGTGCCAGTGCAGGTTCCCGCACCTAATCTCGAACCAACTGACGTGTTCCGAACCGTGAACTGAAAAAGAGAGCGTTCGGAAACGGAAAAGTTGGTTTCCAATGGAAGCCGAGAGTAAAACTTTGTTTATCCTGAACTGTGACGACACAGTTGATGTCAGCAGGTTCATCACACGCAGTAAAATAAACAAACAAAGAAAATGTGTGTGTGGAACATGGAGGAGAAATCAAGTGACAGAAGATTGTGCAGTGTTCAGCGAAGGAGACCAGATATTTGTATATCCATGTTTGCCAGGTAAGGTTCCATCTTTGGATTGGGAGTCGCTGCCGCCTTCTCCACAGCAGACGTTCCTCCGCAGCAGACGTTCCTCCGCAGCAGACGTTCCTCCGCAGCAGACGTTCCTCCGCAGCAGACGTTCCTCCGCAGCAGACGTTCCTCCGCAGCAGACGTTCCTCCACAGCAGATGTTGGTGTCGGTGTAGATAAATAATAATTTGTATGAGTACAAATACTCGCTGGTGTCGATGATGTGATCCATGATCATTATTTTCTGCTTTCGTGTGGCCTTGTTTTTATTTGGTGGTGAATCCACTCCGTCTGTCGATGATCATCTTGGGTTCACTTAAACGGTTTGCAGGTCGTTCATCGGTGAGAACTTTGGTTTCCGGCACAATTCTGGCCGGCTTGAAAACAGCTTCCCTGAGCTGCAGCGGCTGCACTAGCACTGACTCAGGGTTGGTGCAGGTGCTGGAGTTTAGGGAGAGACCAGATCAGAGACACATTTTAGGTTTAAACAAACTCAAGTTCATTCTGTTCTCTGACTAGAATAAACGTCTTGAAAACTTCACCATCATGTCCAGTTCTGTAATTAAGTACGAGTTATTAATTATTAAAGTGTGATAAAGTCGTTGTTTACCTCGTGAGGCTTTATTCCCATGTCACTGAGGACGCTCCGGAAGAACATGGGAGACGGTTTTCCAATCACTTCAGCTTTCACATCACAGGCGAACTGCACACAAAACAGGAAATACATGTGACCGTGTGTCAGATGCCCTCCCGTCCCCCCGTGTGTGTGTCAGATGCCCTCCCGTCCCCCACGTGTGTGTGTCAGATGCCCTCCCGTCCCCCCGTGTGTGTGTCAGATGCCCTCCCGTCCTCCCGTGTGTGTGTCAGATGCCCTCCCGTCCCCTCGTGTGTGTGTCAGATGCCCTCCGTCCCCCCGTGTGTGTGTCAGATGCCCTCCGTCCCCCCGTGTGTGTGTCAGATGCCCTCCCGTCCCCCCGTGTGTGTGTCAGATGCCCTCCCGTCCCCCGTGTGTGTGTCAGATGCCTCCCGTCCCCCCGTGTGTGTGTCAGATGCCCTCCCGTCCCCCACGTGTGTGTGTCAGATGCCCTCCCGTCCCCCGTGTGTGTGTCAGATGCCCTCCCGTCCCTCCGTGTGTGTGTGTCAGATGCCCTCCCGTCCCCACGTGTGTGTGTCAGATGCCCTCCCGTCCCCCGTGTGTGTGTCAGATGCCCTCCCGTCCCCTCGTGTGTGTGTCAGATGCCCTCCCGTCCCCTCGTGTGTGTGTGTCAGATGCCCTCCCGTCCCCTCGTGTGTGTGTCAGATGCCCTCCCGTCCCCTCGTGTGTGTGTCAGATGCCCTCCCGTCCCTCCGTGTGTGTGTCAGATGCCCTCCCGTCCCCTCGTGTGTGTGTCAGATGCCCTCCCGTCCCCACGTGTGTGTGTCAGATGCCTCCCGTCCCCTCGTGTGTGTGTGTGTCAGATGCCCTCCCGTCCCCTCGTGTGTGTGTGTCAGATGCCCTCCCGTCCCCTCGTGTGTGTGTGTGTGTCAGATGCCCTCCCGTCCCCCCCGTGTGTGTGTCAGATGCCCTCCCGTCCCCCCGTGTGTGTGTGTCAGATGCCCTCCCGTCCCTCCGTGTGTGTGTCAGATGCCCTCCCGTGCCCTCGTGTGTGTGTCAGATGCCCTCCCGTCCCTCCGTGTGTGTGTCAGATGCCCTCCCGTCCCCTCGTGTGTGTGTGTCAGATGCCTCCCGTCCCCCGTGTGTGTGTCAGATGCCCTCCCGTCCCCTCGTGTGTGTGTGTGTGTGTCAGATGCCCTCCCGTCCCCCCGTGTGTGTGTCAGATGCCCTCCCGTCCCCTCGTGTGTCAGATTTACCTCCAGAGCTTTCATATAAACTCCCACATCCAGTTTGAGTCCGTCTGTCTCTTTGTAATATCTCCTGGAAAATATAAAAATATAAATAAAACCATTTAAAAACATCATATAAAGAAGAATCTGTGTAAAGTTTAATATGGACATGACTGCTACTACTAGACCTGGTTTAGACCGGGTTTAGACCGGGTTTAGACCGGGTTTAGACCGGGTTTAGACCGGGTTTAGACCGGGTTTAGACCTGGTTCAGTCCTGGTTCAGTCCTGGTTCAGTCCTGGTTCAGTCTGGTTCAGTTCTGGTTCAGTCCTGGTTCAGTCTGGTTCAGTCCTGGTTCAGTCCTAGTTTCGACCTGATTTAGACCTGATTCAGTCCTAGTTCAGTCCTGTTTTAATCCTGTTTTAGCCCTGTCTTAGTCTTGATTCAGTTCTGGTTCAGTCCTGATTTAGTCCCAGTTCAGTTCCATCTTTGTCCCGTCTTAGTCTTGATTCAGTCCTTCTTCGGTCCTGATTCAGTCCTGGTTCATTCCCGGTTCAGTCCTGATTCAGTCCTGGTTCATTCCCGGTTCAGTCCTGAATCCCGTCTCTTAGACCTAGTCTTTAGACCCGTCTTAGACCCGTCTTAGACCCGTCTTAGACCCGTCTTAGACCCGTCTTAGACCCGTCTTAGACCCGGTTCAGGTTCAGTCCTGGTTCAGTCGTGCACGAGTCTCACCCCTGGCCCAGAGAGAACAGCACCGGTTTGTCCAGCGCCATCAGGACCCTGAACGCGTCATTCAGGTTTTCGTAGGAGAACTTCTCGGCCGCGTCTCCGATCACCACACAGTTTGGGTCGGTCTGGTCCACGCCCTCAAATTCCGGCAACAGACCTGAGAAGACAGATTCAATCTATTTTATTTGGGCACTGCAAAAAACCTTGGCCAAAATCTAAGATATAAACATTTAAATCTATCAGAAAATGACTTAAAAGTAGTGAAGTACTGATAAAAACTGATAAAAACTGATAATAACGTCGACTCTGGTACAGGAACAGAGTGAGGACACGCAGTACCGTCGTAGACCAGCAGGTGGGGCCGCAGTCCTCTCTCCTTCAGCACAGACACGGCGGCCGGAGCAGGAGAGAAAACTTCCTTCACAGAAATGTCGAACCCGAGTCTCCGGAGTTTGGCCACAAATCTGTCTCTGGACGCCTGAGTCTCGTTGGTGCAAAAACGCAGCTGCAGATCCGACTGTTTCAACCTAAACACAGAAAACGAACTAAAGTCAAATACAAAAATAAAAACAAAACAGACAGTACATTACTTCATTCTAAACTGTACAGATTTGTTGACCTGGTTTATGGTTCGTATCTCTGAAATTTCTGGACCTATCCACTAGTGTTGTAGTCAAGACTGCACTAAACGAGACCAAGACCAGTCCAAGACCACAGGGTCCAGAGACCGAGATAAGACAGAGACTTTTAAAGGCCAAGACCGAGACAAGACCAAGGCCACGTCCCATCAAGATCAGATCAAGACCATCTTTGTCATTTCCTATATTTATTTGTATTTTACAGTTATTTTGGCACAAATATATCACTGTTTTTATAAATCTATCTCCATTTGATCTGATTAATGTTAATTTAAACTTAAAATAAGCCAAGCAAACTGTACTCAAACACTCTTTGACCCTTTTTTGAACCCTGACCCACAGTTTAAGAACCTTTTCTTTAATCCCAGATTAAAGGAAATTTACCGGCCGTAATGAAATATGAACGCGCTCGTCGAGTGTCAGACCTCGAGACCAAGACAAGACCAAGACAAGACCAAGTCCAAATGCACTCAAGTCCGAGATGAGACCAAGACCATAAAAAAACAGTCTCGAGACCAAGACCGGTCTCAAGTACTACGACACTACTCTCCACACTATCCTAAGAGTCACAGTCCTGAACAGTCCCTCGTTCGTCCAGAAGTTGTTCAGTATAAATAAGGCTGATGCAAAAACAACGTCCAGATGAACAAAGTTGAAACCTTCTCTAAAGTGAATAAAAACTGGAACAGTTTGGATTTTCAAGTGTGGATTTTCTCTTATTTGTTAACAATGAAGAAGATTGTCAAATGTACGACTGGGTTTTGGATATGACATAAAATAATTAATTACATTTGCTCAAGAAACTTTGCAAAAACAGTATTTTAGTGTTTTTCTTGGAATTCTGTCATTATTTAATAGGGTTTGGTATTAAAGTACTTTTTGCTTCAGCCTAAACCCTTTTGGTCATGATCCATGGGGTTGTAATGCTGCCAAAAAAAAAAAAAAAATAAAAAAAGACAGAATAAACTACCACTACTACAACGACTACTACTTCTACTACCACATCCTTAGTAAGACAACTTTGAATCAAGAATGCTCGTAAATCAGAAAGTTAAACTAATTTGAGCATTTCCTTTCTCACAATGCTCAGTTTACTTTTTACTTTATTACCTGGCCTATTCTTTGGAAAGAATAGATTTTGGTGATTACTACTACTACTACTACTACTACTACTACTACTACTAACTACTACTACTAGTACATTTTGCATAGATATTAACAAAAAAACAAATAAAATGAATTGTTAGACACAAATAATGACTTTAGCAACTTTCCTAAAACTTGCAGCAACTCAACTTTTTGCATTGATAAAACATAAATAAAGTAAATATTACACGTAAACAAAGAAAATACTGCTATATTATTATTATTTTGGATTCAAATAGTAAAAGTTAGCGAGGTAGTTCCAACTTTTATTTATAGCTCTGTTACTACTTTACACTTGGCTACTGGATGCTAACGGCTAGCGCCACTTTCCACGCTAAAACCCGCTGTTTTTGCGCGTTTCTCGGACACTTTGGCCGCACCTTTGCACCGCTTCCACGGACCCGGGGATGGCCACTCCGTCCCCCTCTCCGCTGTCGTACAAAACTCCGCACATGTCCAAAATCACGCCTTTTAAACCCTGTGCGCAACCCGGCCATCCTGCAGCCGCCATGACGGGCTCCACTGCGCAGGCGCAAACCGGTCATCCCGCAGCCGCCACGTCAGGCTCCACTGCGCAGGCGCGATACGGCACACCTGGGATTTGAACGTCCTAAAAATTGAGTAAGAAAATAAAAACGAACAGTGTTGGGGAGTAACAGATTACATGTACCCGAGTTACGTAATCAGAGTACAAATTATGAGTAACTGTATTCAGTTACAGTTACTGTTTCAGTGAGTGGTAATCGGATTACAGTTACTTTGTTGAAATAAATGGATTACACGGCAGTATTTTCCTGTTTTCATATTTTGGGTTAAACCAGGACTAAAACCAGGACTAAAACCAGAACTAAACCAGGACTAAACAAGGACTAAAACCAGGTCTAAAACCAGGACTAAACTAGGACTAAAACCAGGACTAAACCAGGACTAAAATCAGGACTAAACCAGGACTAAACCAGAACTAAACCAGGACTAAAATCAGGACTAAAACCAGATCTAAAACCAGGACTAAACTAGGACTAAAACCAGGACTAAAACCAGAACTAAACCAAGACTAAACCAGAGCTAAACCAGGACTAAACCAAGACAAAAAAACAGGACTAAACCAGACTAAAACGAGAACTAAACCAGGACTAAACCAGAACTAAACCAAGACAAAAAAAAAAACAGGACTAAACCAGAACTAAACCAGGACTAAATCAGGACTAAACCAAGATTAAAATCAGGACTAAAACCAGGTCTAAAACCAGGACTAAATCCACAACTAAAACCAGAACTAAACCGGGACTACACCAGAACTAAATCAAGACTAAACCAGGACTAAAACCAGGACTAAAACCAGGACAATATCAAGTAATCCAAAGTATTCAGATTACGTTACTCACTTTAAGTAATTTAAAGGATTACTTTACAAACTACATTTTGGGGGATGTAATCTGTAATCTGTAGGGGATTACATTTTTAAAGTCACCTTCCCAACACTGAAAACGAACAAATGAAACCAAAAGGCGCATGTTACACTATTTTGTGATCTGTGTTCTAATGTCGTTTCCTCGTCACAAACACAAACAGATGTAGAGTTTTGTTTTGTTTCATTCACAAATTTTTAACACGCAAACCCTGGTTACATGCTGCTATTCCGACATTGACGTCTAATTGTCGGAGTGGCGGCATTTCCATTTTTTATCAAACGTCGCTGCACGCCGACATTTTTTTTACTTGGTCAATGGTCAGAGAGACGGTACTTTAGATTTTTTTTCAACATCCCGCCTTTCCGACACACAATTAATGTAATTATTAAGTTGTGGTGGCGCGCTTTTCGGGACAATATTTTCAGACTAGGAGTAGGTTGTCAGAATGGCGACATAAAAGGTGTCGGAATGGAATGGAGGCATGTCGGAATTACGGAGTGTCGGGGTCTGTCGCAGTGGCGATATGTCGGAATAAGGATTGTACCCTGCTTCGTTTTTAAACAATTACATGCTGCTGTTCCGACATGCCGCTATTTAGACGCTATTTGATGTCTAATTGTCGGAGTAGTGGCATAAACAGTATTTTTGAAGCGTCCGACTACTATCCTTTTTTTTTTTTTCATTGTCAGAGTATCAGCACTTTACTATTTTTCAAACATTCCACTTTTCCGATATGAATAACATTAGTGCAACAGCCTATTACACTTTACGCTCCCATGTGTCATTGATCAGAGAAAACTTCGGCCACAGAGGAAATCAGTCAGTGGGGAAATATCTTGACTGAAACAGAAACAGTCATGCATTTGAAAAAAGAGCAAACGCCAGCCTTCGGTCCAAATATCAAATCTAAGAAGAGCGAGAGTTATGTAATCAGAGTACAAATGATGAGTAACTGTATTCAGTTACAGTTACTGTTTCAGTGAGTGGTAATTGGATTACAGTTACTTTGTTGAAATAAATGGATTACACGGAGGGATTTTTCTTTCTATTATTTTTTTTTTTTCTTTTGTCATAATTCCACTCATTGCCGGACACTAAACCAGGTCTAAACCAGGTCTAAAACCAGGTCTAAACCAGGTCTAAACCAGGTCTAAACCAGGTCTAAAACAGGTTCAACAGGACTAAACCAGGTCTAAAACAGGACTAAACCAGGTCTAAAACAGGACTAAACCAGGTCTAAACCAGGTCTAAAACCAGGTCTAAACTAGATCTAAACTAGGTCTAAACCAGGACTAAACCAGGTCTAAACCAGGTCTAAAACCAGTTCTAAAACCAGGTCTAAACCAGGACTAAACCAGGACTAAACCAGGTCTAAAACCAGGTCTAAACCAGGTCTAAACCAGGTCTAAACCAGGTCTAAACCAGGTCTAAACCAGGTCTAAACCAGGTCTAAAACCAGGTCTAAAACCAGGTCTAAAACCAGGCCTAAACCAGGTCTAAACCAGGTCTAAACCAGATCTAAACCAGGACTAACACAAGATTTAACAGGACTAAAACAGAACTAAACCAGGTCTAAACCAGGTCTAAACCAGGTCTAAACCAGGTCTAAACCAGGTCTAAAACCAGGTCTAAACCAGGTCTAAACCAGGACTAAACCAGGACTAAACCAGGGTCTAAAACCAGGTCTAAACCAGGTCTAAAACCAGGTCTAAACCAGGTCTAAACCAGGTCTAAACCAGGTCTAAACCAGGTCTAAACCAGGTCTAAAACCAGGTCTAAACCAGGCCTAAACCAGGTCTAAACCAGGTCTAAACCAGTCTAAACCAGGACTAACACAGGATTTAACAGGACTAAACAGGACTAAACCAGGTCTAAACCAGGTCTAAACCAGGACTAAAACAGGTCTAAACCAGGTCTAAACCAGGTCTAAACCAGGACTAAACCAGGACTAAATCCTGCTGCGTGGACCGTGTCTCCTCGTCTTCTATCAATAATATTTTTAATAAGGTAAAGTAAAGTCTGGGCTTTTTCATTTTCTTTTATCAGACAAAACTTCTTATGTGAAGATTTCCTCGTCTTTGCTTCTCTACAGCAAATCAAGTAATCCAAAGTATTCAGATTACGTTACTCACTTTAAGTAATTTAATGGATTACGTTACAAACTACATTTTGGGGTATGTAATCTGTAATCTGTAGGGGATTACATTTTAAAAGTCACATTCCCAACACTGGTCGTAATGAAGGGACGTCAGATTGGACAGCGGACTCCATTTATTTATTTAAACTCCACTCACCTTCACTAGAATCATTTAGATAATTTCAGCTCTGGAATTGCAGATCTCGACTGAACTAAAGGTAAAAAGAGCTGTTCACTTACAAACTACCACTTCATGACATCACAAAGTGGAACAGAGCATTTTGAGCTCTGGAGATGTAGACAGACGAATAATAAAGAGTCACTCAAAACACAGGACTGACGGGTGATCAGGACTGAGACCAGGACCAGACCAGGACCAAGACCAAGGCCAAGACCAGGGCCGAGACCGGGGCCGAGACCGGGACTGAGAGACCAGGACCCGAGACCAGAGACCAAGGACCGAGACCCAGGCCGAGACCAGGGGGACCGAGGGACCGAGACCGAGACCAGGACCAGGACCAGGACCAGGACCAGACCGGACCAAGGCCGAGACCTGGGCCGAGACCGGGCCGAGACCGGGACTGAGACCAGGACCAGACCAGGACCACCGAGACCGAGAAGGCCGAGACCAGGGCCGAGACCAGGGCCGAGACCGGGACTGAGACCAGGACCAGACCAGGACCAAGACCAAGGCCGAGACCAGGGACCGAGACCAGGGCCGAGACCGGGACTGAGACCAGGACCAGACCAGGACCAAGACCAAGGCCGAGACCAGGGCCGAGACCAGGGCCGAGACCGGGACTGAGACCAGGACCAGACCAGGACCAAGACCAAGGCCGAGACCAGGACCGAGACCAGGGCCGAGACCGGGACTGAGACCAGGACCAGACCAGGACCAAGACCAAGGCCGAGACCAGGGCCGAGACCGGGACTGAGACCAGGACCAGACCAGGACCAAGACCAAGGCCGAGACCAGGATTGAGACCTGTTTAATCCTGGTTTAGTCCTGTTTTAGTCCTGGTTCATTCCGTAATCCGTTTTTTCCATTATTCATTTAAACACCAAATCAAAAACTGAAAAAACGAATCGTAATCTGTTTTTTTCATTTTGTTCTGATTTTGTTTTGTTTTTCATGTTCTTATTTTGATTTTATATTGAAAAACGAAAGAAACGATACACGGATTCGGAACATTCAAGACAAAGCGGATCAGAAAAGTTACATCTCTAAATCTCTCTAAATCCAGTCTGTAGTTTAAAGTAGTGCAAAGTAGTCCATTTTTAAAAAGACCTGATTTGTTTCGTCTGTTAAACAATGACCCTGGACGCGGCTGTTTTGACTTTTTCAGAAAAGACCGGATTATCTCACAAACCAAAGTCTCATTCAGTGCATTTGTCCTAAACAAAGGCTGAAGGAAAGATAACGCTATCGACAACAACTCACTGTTTAGAGTCTGAAGGTTCGTCTACTTCAAACCTGGAATTCTGAAAAGGCTGAAGGAAGAGCGGACGTCTTTGAAAAGGGATTATCTGTGTCGTTTTGTTTTATTCTAACCAGCCCCGGCCGATTTCAGATTCTAAACAGTCAGATTTCTTTATTGATTACATTGGTACTTTGTCATAAAAAAATCCAAAAGGTAAATGCACAAAGTTGAAGTAATAATTTCAATTTTTTTAAAGACCCAAGAACTCACTCGCCAGATTCATCAGTCAGTTTCACTTTGTAGAAACCGTCTGACCTCACAGCATTAGGATTCGTTTGCTCGACAGTAGGTTGGTACTTTTTTTATTTAACCGATCGCTGCTGTTTGGTCGTGACGTATGTAATGCGCCACTAACGGGGTTAACTGGTATATTAAGCTTTTCCCAAATCCCGTAGGAAGAAGGACAATAACGTCTTTCCCCTTGATAAAATTCACCAAACATTCTCTTTGTTCCGGCTTTAAATCCTCGATCTGGAGATTTGTTGCCAACACTGAATGTCTGTCT